TGGTGCGATCATCCCCCGTTGCGCGGAGTGAGGGTTCTCGACCCCGCACAAGATGATCTACTCGACCACCATTCATGGTTACCGCCAAAAAAAAAAAACGAGGAAAAAAAAAAACCGGTAACCTGGTTGCCGAGTTCACGAAGTGAATTGGCTTGTTTTACAACGTCGTTGCCAAGCGACGAAAACCCAACCCCGATGACAAACACCGGGGGGGGCGGTTCAAAAGGGGTTCACTCGCTGGTTCAGTTTGTGCATGGGGGGGAAAAGGGCACAGGGCGGGTATGGGGGCCACACTCTCAGACAACACTGCCCACGCCATACCAGCCAACACTGTCATCAATTTCAATTGGTCCGGTGATCCGGTTTTCGTTTTTCCGAGCCTCGATAGCGCTGCTCGCCACCATGCTTTTCTCTCAGCCGGTTCACCCGGTGCTGTACCTGCTGCTCCGCACGCCACCGACCCCGGCACCGGTCCCGTCTCCGCGCCCATGACCCACTCCCGCTCGCGCGCGCGCCCCATCCCGTAACCTCCCCCGCCCCCGTCGGCCCCGCCTGCCTGCGGAGCCCGCGCTCTCATTTCTTCGCGGCAGGCTCGCGGCAGGCTCCCCTTCGGCGTCTGCCCCCCCCCTCTTCTTGGCACCGCCGAGCCTGTTGATGATGCCTTCACCGTTGGGTTCGCCGCCGGTGTGCCGGTACCGGCACGCATAGCCCTTCCGATACTCATGGGTTCAAACGCTCTCTTCCTTAAACTTCGTGCACTCCGTCTCCGCCATTGTGGGATACGATGCCCCCCCCCCTCCCCTCTGTTCCTTCCCGGCTCCGCCAGCCACACTCTTTGCTCCTCCGTATACCCCGCCGCCGCCACCATCGCCGTTCCCGCGGTACGTGTTCCCCCCCCTGCCGCTGCCCCCACCGCCCCCGCCTCCGCTCCGACCGTCCCCTGCCCCGCCGAATGCCGGCGCCAGCGACGCCAGGGGCATGAGAAGGTGTGTGTGGGTGAATTGCGGCAGCGGAATACCACCCAACTCCATTCCCCCCGGTACCCCCCCACCCCCCGCCTTCGATTGCTCCGCCAGCGCTCTCACGGTTACCGCTGCGGTCCACACCTCGAGGTCCGTGTTGAAGGCCTGCATGAATGACTCGCGGAAACGCCACCCCCGTGACATGAACCCACTCGCAGGGAAGTAGCGCCGCACTGTTGTCGGCATGCTGGACAGGTGCGCCGTGAGCCCAGAAGAGCTAAACAGGGCGTCGCGGTCGGCGGGGCCTACGAGATATGACGCCAGGTACTCGATCAATTCAAAGAGGGCCTCCACGCGGCGGTCCAACTCCATGTCTACGTCCATCAGCCCCCCCCCCCCCCCC